CACCTTCCTGGGTTCAGACCCAGGCAGGCACCCGGGGTGGCGCTGGCGTCTGAGGTTCAGGGTGCAGTGCTCCATGTTTGAAAACCAGACTGCTCCCCACCATGGACGAGAACCCCCCTTCCCTCTTCCCCCTCCCCCCGGCCAAACCTGCGCCCTGGGGATGATGAATGCTGTCGTCACCCCCATGACTTCTCTGTGCGCGAATATGAGATTGGGGAAGGGGGTTTAAGAACCAAAGACGCCCGGCCGGGGTGGCTCAGCGGGTGAGCATTGGCCTAAGAACCAGGAGGTCACGGTTCCATTCCCTGTCGGGGCACATGCCCGGGTTGCAGGCTCCATCCCTGGGGGAGGCGGGGGTCATGCAGGAGACAGCCTATCAGTGATGTTTCTCTCTCATCGATGTTTCTATCTCTCTTGGCCCGCACTTGGACCGAAAACACCTGTGTTGCACCGGACCGTCCGTCCCTGCCCCGTGGACTGGAACCCTGGACAGCGGGCAACCTGGAGCTGAGAGAGGGTGGTCTGCATCGAGGCTGGGCCGGGAACTGAACCCTGACCTCCTGGCCGAGCGAGGACTTCTTCCTGCTCTTTGGACCGCTGGGCACTGCCCGCCCCGCGGTGGGCCGTGCTGGCTCCTGCTCCCCTCCCTCCGTACCCTCGGGCTTTGCAGGGCTCCGGGAAGGGGCCCCAGGAAGAGCCAGCCGAGGGCCAACACTGTCCCCACAGCCCCAGGATCCAGAGTGAAGCCAGCACGGGTGTGAGGGGTGGTGGGGACAGGTGTGAAGGGCCTTGAGATGCAGGACGGGGCGGCGGGGGTGGGGGGGTGGCTGCTCTCAAAACCTGCTCCCCGTGGGAGTGTAGGCCTCCTCCCATAAGGTGTTGAAGTTTCTGGAGCAGCCAAGCCCTCCCACCCAGCCAGGACCAGGGCAGCGTGTCTGCATGGAGCCGGCCAGGCCCTGTCTGCCCCCAGCCTGGTGGGGGCGCTCCCACCTGCTGGCCTGCGCCCCGGCAGCCCACTCCTCCCACGGTGTCAGGACCACGGACCAGGCACCATCCCGGCAGGTGGAGGGTCAGGGCCCAGGCACAGCCACATGAGGGCGGAGGCAGGGACCAGGCCCTCGCCTGGCGGGTGGGTGTGGGCAGCTGCTCATGCTGTGTCCACTCACTTAATAGCTTAGCCCCTGCAGGTATGAACCGGGGCCTGGGGCCAACCAGCTTATCTCCATCTCCTCCCGGGAGACGGCACAGGATGGACCGCACTGCGGGGACGGAGTGGGTCCTGCAGGCTCAGGAGGCTTCTGGGGCCGGGACTGAGAGATGAGGGTGCGGCCACGATCAGGGCCTCTGGCCTGGGGAGGAGCTCAAAGTCCCAGCTGGAGAAATGGGCTGAGAGGCCTGGATCGCAGCTTCTCGGAGGGTCCTGCACGGACAGCTTGCCCCAGGCGGGCGGCTCTGAAGTCCAGGCTCCCAGCTGCCCCTGCTCCCTACACCTTGAGCAGCAGAGGAGACACTAGGTGCAGCCGGGCACAAACCCCCGTTGTCAGGAACGTGCTAAGATATTGTCTTCAGCCCGGCTGGCCCCAGCTCCGTGGCTAAGCGTCGACCTATGAACCAGGAGGTCAGGGTTTGATTCCCGGTCAGGGCACAGGCCCGGGTTATGGGCTCGATCCCCAGTGGGGGGCGTGCAGGAGGCAGCTGATCCATGATTCTCTCTCCTCATTGGTGTTTTTTTTCCTCTCTCTCTCCCCCTTCCTCTTTGAAATCAATAAAACATATTTTTTTAAAAGTATTGTCTTAAAACTTTAAATCTGAAAAAATGTTCTCAAGTAACATGATCTTACCAGTTTAGAAAAGACTTTTGTCTTCATGTGGTTCCACCAAAAGCAGCCTCAACACGCAGAGGGTGCAGACGGTTGATTTGGGAGGCCATCCCAGGGCGGGGCCGGGTGGGGGGCGGGGCCCGGTGTGTGTGTGTGTGTGTGACCCTCCTGCCCTGGGCACAGCGGGAGGTGTTGTGTGTGTGGACCCTCCTGCCCGGGGAGCTGGGCCTGGGCACAGCGGGAGGGCACAGCCCCCGGAGCAGGGAGAGAGCAACGGGGCACGGCTCAGGGGAGGAGAGTTGGTTCCTCGCAGGCCGAGGTGGGAATTCACACCCGGGGACC